ATTCGCCTCCCAATTGGTTAGCAAAAACTCAAGTTTGATTATGAGTGAAAGATGGAACTTTGTGTGGCCCACGTAGGAGAAATTTCATTCAAGTTCTTCTCAGCCACCCTAATTTGAGGTTCCAATGGGACTGATAATTAGATTTGTACCCAACCAATTATGCGTTCTACTGGTGTATCTTAGAAGTAGTAGCACAAAGTACTTAAGGAAACCGTACCATTACGAGGAAAACAGCATATTTTGTTGGTTGTTAAAAGTATTTGACACATTTACTTCATCTTCAACAATGATTAATGGTGAATTTGTGCATTCCACTCATAGTTAAAGAATTTGTGGCATGAAGAGTTCAGATAATCTACCAGAACACAAATTCAAGTAGGCACACACCGATTATGTTGTAAATAGGAGAAAATCATCTTAATTGTCATCTTTCAACGGAAAGGATTACTATTAGACTTCAAAAGCCGAAAGTATTGTATACAAAGAGCCTCAAATGGGAACTCAATTTATTTTGATAGACTTCGCCCTTAAGCTCGAATTCTTTGTGCCTAAAATTCGCTTCATTAATTATTATATCCAAAGCTCTACATCTCAACCTAAATGGTTAAATTAGAACAAAAATTGTTAGGGGTTTCAAATGCTAAGCTGACTACCAATCAAACACAAGTATAGATAGAATCAGGGGAAAAAGGAAGTACAAGAATTTACCAAAATCCTCGCATCTCTCAAGTATCCAAATATGCAGCTTTTGGTGCCAGGGCGATGATGAAAGTCTAGAAATAGAGTGTTCAAGTAAATAAATAGCGAGTCGACACGCGATCCGCTTAACGTGTCCTTTCATGTCACAAATCAAATTAACTTCCGGTACACTCAGTGCTGCGGAGAAGTATTGACTCTTCACATTTTCATTTCTAGGTCCTTTTACTAGAGGTTGCCCTCAAAGGAAACCCACTTTACACACCACCTCTCATTTTGACCCGAATTAGCCAATGATCTTTCACTAAGTTGTTTATAAATGATAGACAAGCTACACTGTTGGTGTTCTTGTGAGATCAATCAATGCGCCTGACAAACCTCATCATTGAAAATTTACTAATAATTGTCAATCACGTGTCCTCCCACCCAAACAATTCCAAGTTTAACTTTATATGAAGCAGTAAGGAGCACAATCAAGTTTGAAACTGTTTTTTTAACAGAGTAAATTTTGTTTGATTCTGTCAGGCGTTGATTTTAAATATGATGCCGCATTCTTTAATTTATATGTACAGAACAACGTAATTATTTACTCTAACATGGTGATTTAAAATTAATGCTTAAGTTCATTAAAAATTAGACTGAAAGTATTCCAACAGAGACATTTCCTTGTTAGAAGATTAAGTTGAGGAATATAGCAAAGTTATGTATATTGTTTTGTAGACTTGTAGCGGATTGCTCCCTAAGAAAGCCTGACGTGGTTAAAGACTTGTAGCGGATTGCTACCTTAGTAAAGCCAGACCGGTTGAGAATTGTAACGGATTGCTACCTTAGTAAAGCCTGACCGGATTGCATTGTAGCGGATTGCTACGCTAGTAAAGCCTGACCGAAATCTCTATGGCAGATTCTCCAACACCTAGCTAGACTCCCAGAACAGCTAAGCTATAGCTCCACGGATTGCTACGCTAGTAAAGCCTGACTGACTCAGAAATATATGAGCTACGCTAGTAAAGCCTGACTGACTCAGAAATCTCAATGGGAGATCCTCCTACATCTAGCTAGACTCCCAGAACCAGCTAAACACCTTAGTAAAGCCTGACTGACTCAGAAATCTCTATGGCAGATTCTCCAACATCTAGCTAGACTCCCAGAACCGGCTAAGCCATAGCCCAGCTATAAAGGGAACAGACGTGTTGCACGGAGTACGCTTATTCAGGACGTATACTGCGGATCAAGTGTGTACACACAGGGAGCTACTCATGATCAGGATGGGGGATTAGGTTAAACAGAGGTTAATCATGATCAGGATGGCGGATTAGGTCAAACAAACAGAGGCTAGTGGTCACTGTTTGTACGGTCGCTGCACACAGAGTTGTACGGCGAAGGATGGGGGGATTAGGTTAAACAGAGGTTGATGATTGGTCAGATGGATGAGGGATTAGGTTAAACAGAGGTTAATGATTGGTCACTGCTTGTACCGGGATTAGGTTAAACAGAGGTTGATGATTGGTCACTGTTTGTACAGTCGCTGCACACAGAGTTGTACGGCCGCACCTCCCAATCCTGCGAGCAAACATGCAGGCATACAATGACGCACAGAGCGATAACGTGTTTCACAGGAATAATTTATATATATCAAATAGCAGGCGTCTTGATGGTTATCATTAGCCCTTTAGTTGACTTCAGGCTTCAAAGAGGGGAAGGAATATCAAATTGAAAAAAAGTCGAGAGGGGGGGAGGAACAGAAGAGTGTTTCAAAGATGCAAGAGACAAACACAAAGATAGAACAAAGGTGAGGTGAGTACTGTGGAAATATTCCAATATGGCATAGAGTGAGGTGATGGTAGTTTGAAGTGAGAAGTCAACTGCCAGTCAATAGACTTTTTTGCCGTATGCCCAGGGTGCACCAAGTGGAGGTAAGTCTATCGCACCCCCCCCCCACAGGAATAATAGGGCTCTTAAAAATACTCCTTTAATGGCTCATCCATTTATACTTGAATTTACGTATAAACTGAGGAAAGATGGCGCACAATATGGATAGCATTTGACCAATACTCAATCAATTTGTACACCCAAAATAAAACAAATTTGAATTTAAATTTCCACTCATCTCTTATGCCTTAGCAACTTCACAATGTCAATTTAAGAGGGTCGTTTCTACACTGGGATTCAATTTCAACTACCTATTTAAAGTAGTCAAAATTAAATCAATTTACCTTACTTTGCAGTCTGTCATTTCTGCAGACTTAAAGTCAATAAACAAGTTAGCATAGCCATTTCTCCAGTTAAGTTGATAGAGAGAGGTATTCACTAAAGAGAACCACATAGTAATTGGCATGAATCAAATGAAATGTGTAATTGAATTAATCCCTTAGTAGATGAAGTGTGACTCAAAATAACTGTCCTTTGATAGTACTCATGACAATTTTATTTGTTCAACTTGAGAATTTTGTATAACTCTTTGCTTAAATCATGTTGATTACAAAGTGTTTTTCCATATTTTTTCACCTTTAATACATCAAAATCTTTGCTCAAACAAAATGAAATCAATAATTTTGTGTTAAATTTTCTCAAATTTAATTCGGCAACTTATGAACACCAGAAAGATGTACCAAGAAGCACTACATAGCCTAAGAGTGGGAGAAATCAACCATCTTACTATAATGGACATCACTTTCTTCCCCATCCAGAAAATTTCATTGAATACAGCTCATGTTCAATTGATTTATCCGTTAGAATATCACTGGCTATATTTCATTGTCTTCCCAATTTACTAAGATTTCTGAGTCCTGCTCTAATTTCGAGGAAAATGTTACCTACCCCCCCCCCCCCCCCCCCCCCCCCCCCCCACCCCACCCCACCCCATCTACCTAATGGATGGAGAGGTTGCAAGAACATTAATTACTCTGTGACATCAGACTTGATAATTATCATAAACAAAGGGACGTGTCCTGTCTACCCCCGCGATAAAACAGCACTTTGCAGTGCTGAATATTATTTTGCATTTCCGTGAATTCTGTTCACCGATAATTGAAATTCGCGTATCCCAAGAGGCTTAACTCTCAGAATGCACAGACTTAGAGTTAAATTAACAAAATAAACATCAATATGCCACCCTATGTACAATTGAATTTCATGTTTGATTAGTTGGTGCGATATTAACAAGGGCTTCGAAATAAAATGCATGCCCATTTAGCAAATAAATTGGGCTCAATTGTGGAGACCGAAAAGCGATTATCGCTTTTAAAGTTTGTACAATATTACTTTATTTATAGTTGTTTAAATCTAACTACAAATTGCACTTAACAAGGTTATTCTCGATCTTAAATAACCTTCACAATACTGCATATTCAGTTATTGTTCCTTTTAACAAATGTGTTTATTCTAAAATTGCAGTCAAGGGTTAATATTCAGACACCACTAAAGAACTAACCGTCAAACAGAACTTTGTGATATATTTGATTATTAGTCATAAGGTTAAATTATAACCCTGAAGGGTATATTCCCTAATTAATCAACTTGATCTTTTTAAACAAAATTCCGAATCATGGAAACACGTTTCATATGCTGCCACAGAGTCATTAGTGGTGAAAATGTTGATTAAAGGCTATTGGGAATCCAAGTAAACGGTTCCTACGAATAGGACAATTTTGCCCTAACGATTTACTGTTATTTAAATATTTGAGTGCATTTCGTTTGATTTAGTGCAAATAACACTGCAAATAATTGGATAAGAGTTGCACTGAATATCGACTTTTTAGAGGTCGTTTAATTCTGTTTTCTTTGCGTCTAAATAATCTCACAGTTTACTGATGACGAAAGTGAAACGAAACTACTCATTGTTAGATTTATTGACTTAAATTTCTATTGAAATTGAGATACCTCGTTCGTAGATTACTTTTATTTTTAATGTTAAAATGCATTAACTTTAGCCTGTAGTCTGATTAAGCTGTCTTTATTGGCTATGTGCTTAATACAAGTAGTCCATTCACTTAATTAACTGGTAGTTTATAAAATTGCGTAAGCAATGCTATTCCTGACTTCACATGCAATTGAACCGTTAAGCAAAACCGCCATAGAAACCAGATGTGCGTTAAAATACAACGACTGACTTTCACAGTGCGGGCACAGTGGTGCTAATCAATTGGTTATGGCAAAATAGCAGTGCATTAATACTGCGCCAATATCTGAGTTGAACTCAGCATGCAATCACCAATCACCAGAGGCTCGCTAACAACTACTGGATTGTGATATAAAAGCTTTGTATTACATCTGCATGTCTTCATATATCTGAGGCATTTAATGAAATGAGCAGAATTCGTCATTTCTCTCTTGAGCAAACCTCTACACAGCCAGAGAGATTGCCACGCTTGGTGCCTCCACCCGCCTTAAGTAACCCAATGTCCAATCCCCAACGGCAGAACACTGGGGATACCTTGGACACCTTGGCACCGAATATCCCTCCTCGATATCCAGGACGTAGAATCTCTGAGGAAAGTACAACGAGGGCACGGCATCCAAGTGATCAGCTCACTAATTCATATGCGACTTCGTCGTCACCACCTCAGAAATATCCCCGAAACTCTTATGACAATAGTAACACATTTACAGGAGCAGCAGCCGATGGCAGACGCTCCAGGAATACTAATCTTCCCTCGGTTATCTCAGGGGTTGCTATTAATAGCTTCCAAGAGGAGTGCCAATCCAATGGAGAGGATACAGAAAAAAGAAAGAGATTCAATATGAAGGAATTTAGGCAGAGGAGACGAGATAAAAGGGATTCAAGAAACTTTTCAACCTCCGAACCTGACAGTAATGCGGTGAGTTTAACTACCTTTAAGTATCGACAATTTCGCTATCTTACCTGTCAAAATTACTCCAAATTTCACATATGTCTGTACTTGCATTACTTATACTTTACTAAATTACTCAGTAATCCGTGTGAACAGTCATGAAATCTGAATTTTAAAACGCAAAGCCGTGAATAGCATCCAACTAAAACCAAATTATTTTAGTAAATTATATATTCTAAAGCAAAAATGGAAATGTTTTTTCCTGTTGTGGTCACAGTACACAATATTTATTTATTATTTAAAACTACCTAAAGATACTAATTGTTTACAAACAGGGAGGAATCTGAACAGTATTGTTATTTATTCTAAAAAATATCTGTATTTGCTATATTATTCGTTTAATAACAAAAAACGATACAATAGTAATAGAACTGACAATAATAATAATAATAATAATAATATTAACACATCCCACTTGATCTTCGTTCACCTTCAAAGGTATTTGTACGCAGGGTAAATTGTCTTTGGTTTTGCGAACTTAAATCCCTATTTATTGAAATATTTGGTAAATAGGCACTTTTAAATTTATTATAGTTTCGTCTTTTATTGTCGCTCGATAATACCTTCGAAAGCATCATACAATCACGTTATAGATACTATATTAATTTAATATTATTGATTTATATTTCTTCGTATTCGCTTTCAAAGTTGGCATTGGTTAACTAGAAGCCACTTTCCTGATTTCTTACATCATTTTTTATTTATTATTACTAGAAACTTTCAATTCACGTTTTTACTTATAAAACTGTCATTATTTCAAATTTTATAATATGTCTTGAATATAACCTCAAAAGGAGACATTCGAATTTTCATCTTTGAATGTTACCTCTACTATTAAGCAGTTGTTTTAAGCTCGAAATGTCGTATACCAAAGGCCTAACTGAATTAAGTATGCAATTTGATAGACAAGCACTCCCTTCAATTATTAAGATATTTTATAACCGTTCAAGGTGAATGATCATTTTTAGGATGTTAAAAAGCTTTCGTTTTCAAGCCACCTTCATCTACTGCCCTATTCGTTAACACTACATGAGTGAAGAACGTGTAAGTTAAATGCCCTCCGTTTGAATGCAGTAACAGCAGAGCAATTAAGGTTGTTGGTTCAAGGTGAATTATTTCCATCACACGCTGTCAATTACTCCATTTTGATTATGCCACGCTTTTATTATCTGCCACAATATTTATGTGCCAATTGTGTTAGACACTAATTTGCAAAATCTACTGCCCATTAAAACCCCAGGGATACAATTTATGAGTTAAAATGTCCAAATTTTTCTGTTTACCACAGTTAATTATAAATAGTTCAATTAACCGTTATTTTGGCCAATTATGCGTTCATTTTTAAGCAGGTTAAGATCATAATACAATATTTTTTGTAAATTTCATACCCTAGACAGTATTCTTAACGTATTATTTCATGTCATATGCACGAGTCAAGGTCACTTACAATGAAACATGCGTGTCATATTGCCATGCCGGAGTCCAATCAGTTAAACTTGGCTTGTTAACACTTTATTAGTAATAGAAATCGATTTTAGTTATAACGCATGCAATGAAAGAAATGAGTAATAAATAGGAAATAGTTAAGGGACCCACTGATTCAGTTTTAATCTTTAGGCTTGTAAACAATCAAGATTGAAAACAGTACCTCAAAATGCGAAATGGCTGGCTATTTGCTATTAATAAGTCTCTTAATGATCTTTCTAAGGATGGAACGTGTTTCCTGTACTTGAATTACGCAACAAACGCACCTGGTGGTCGAATGATAGAAGCACCTCTCTAAACGTCATTAAACAGACTTAGAATGTGGTGAAATATATCACATTGGGTTGTTCTAAACAAATAGCTCTTAACCAGCCAAAACGATTGATAATCCATTACTGTTCTTTGAAATGCTATGGAAATTATCCACTTTTGATGAAAGGGGCAAATATTTCCTGCCGCCTATTCATTCTGACTTACTTCCTGAAAATTATTTCGTGAAACTATTTCAAAGCCTATACCAAAATTCGCTGAACTATTTTTTGTAGCGCTGAAAATATGCACTCATATGAAGGAAATGATATTCAGATATTAAAAAATTGCAAGCTTTGCGTTTTAAATGCTTAAACAAACAACAGCTGTTTTCATTAGTTACCTCAATGATCCATTCCTTAACTAAAAAGAAAATAAAACTAGCATTGCATGAGATGGTTGGTGAGGGCCAATTTTGGATGAAAGATTAAATCTCAGAAAAAAAGACGTCGTTCTCCAGTTTATTTGAATTTTATGCCAACGTGCTTTCAAGCAATACTCTTCCACACTGTACTTCTTTAAGGTCCAACGTGTCGCCGTCTTCTGAGCACTCCCAACTCTGACGGTGTCCATGGACGCCTGGGAAAAATGTAAATTTAGTAAGGAAACAAAAAAACATTACGAGACACTTATAATTTGACTGAAAAAAGAGACTCCTTTAACAAAAGTGTCCACGTCTACCAAGCAACAGTGAGAGAACTTAGAGTTGCTTAATTTGACCCAAGGCCTTATTTAATAAGGTGTTAATGGCAAAATGCGGCACCTTATAAAATCCTTCCATCGATAGTGACATGGCAATTGGTTCTTATTAAAAGGCTTTACCCTTTGTTATGTAAGAATCATATTATTGGTATTAGGTGGGCAACTAAGTCATTGCCGATTTCAAATAAGAAGGCAAATTCGGGATTTTTGTTTAAAAATATAACTTTATTCAATTAGATATTGGCCGTTCTTGTCGATGACCTTTTCTCATCGTTCTGGCAGAGTAAAAATTCCCCGTTCGTAAAATGTCTGGTCTTTGCTATTAAAAAACTGAATTAGGTGTGATCCGACATCATCCGCGTTGTTAACATTTTTACCATTTAAAGAGTTTTGCATGGAACGAAACAAATGGTAATCCGAAGGCGTAAGGTCAGGGCTATATGGTGGGTGTGACAAAACATCTCAACGCAGTTCCAATAATTTTTGCCTAGTAACCAAAGATGTGTGGGGCCTTGCGCTATCATGATGGAAAACAACACCCTTCCGCCGATTTGATAATGCCGGCCGCTTATCTTCAATTGCATCCTTCTTTCAGTTTTTCGAGTTCTTCAACATACACATTTGAATTTATCGTTTGGTTCTGCGGCATGAGTTCAAAATACAAAATTCCTTTGTGATCCCCCCACCAGACTGACAGCATAATCTTTTTTTGGTGAATCTCTGCTGCTTTTGATACTGTTTGGGCTGGCTGATCTTGCTTCACCCATTATCTCTTGCGAGTAACATTCTTATAAACTATCCACTTTTCGTCGCCAGTAACTAGGTTCTTCCTCGGAAATGGATCATTCTCATTGCGTTTCAGTAGCGAATCACCAATGGTTTTTAATTTTTTTCAATGCATGTATGCGACACATTGAGCTTCTCTGCAATATCTCGTGTTGTGCTGTGACGATTTGAATCGATAATGGCCTTGATATGGGTTTCATGCACTTCGACTGGGCGGCCAGATCGTTGTGAATTTTTCAGTGAAAAATCACCGGAACGAAATCTTTCAAACCAATTTCGACACTGCCTTTCTTTTAAGGCTTCATCTCCATATACGGCACATAACTTCTTCTTTTGTGCTTGCGATGCGTTCTTGCCTTTTCGGAAGTAATACAATAAAATGTGTCGGAAGTGCACGTCCTGTTCTTTCATTTTTAAATTGGGATAAAAACAAAACTAAAGAACTAAACAAAAAATTTTTTACTAATTAACCTAGAAGCCCATACAATAAGAAAAAAATATAGGTAAGATGCTCTGGCCACGTTAACAAAACAAAAGAAAGTATAGAGTGAATCTGTCAACAAAAACGGCAATGACTTAGTTGCCCACCCAATACTTAGTCAAATAGCAAATAACTAATGCCATATTAGGGTGCGTTATGCTGGGGTAAATGGTAACTCGATCAAAATGTATATATTGTAGAGTTTGGCATAAATAGGTATTCCACCATATGACTAACATTACATCTTTGATTTCTGGTTGATCAAGTGCCACGCATATTTTAAAGCTGGTTCGCAAACCTCCAATTTCCCCCATTTTCCAAATTGAGCATCCACGTCTATTTTGCAAATTGGGAAATCATTTTTGATGCAACTTCATATTCAAAGAATGGCACCCTTTTCCGACCTAAGAGGTCCCTTTGTTTATTTTTAACAGTAAATAATCTTGCCTTATGTTTATACATACCCTTCATTACTGCATTTTATTAGAAACTGATTGGGTTTTTAAGTATTGAGATGAAATCACTTGATCTTGCCATAACGTAAATTGTTTGGGAACTCAATAGGCATCTTTAATAAAATCTTGACACTTGAAAGTAGAGATATTTAAATATATTCTTGTTTGGACCTCGGAAGGTTGTTATTAGGAGGTCAATTTTGGAAAAAAATTAGATATACTGTGTCGTGATTAACCCTATCATTAACTTGTTTAAAATGTTCTTTTTTAATTAAAAGCTCGAAGACAGTTGGATCTTTAGTTAACTAGTCGTTTCGTCTTCATTTTAAGAGAATATAAGATTTAATTGAATTGGCTCGATAATAATGATAATATGTTTCTTATTCATTTCATAATTGGTCAACTTCAATTGCTTTTACTAATTCATCATCCATATTAAACATGAGGATGGGATGGGAATTGACTATTGTGAAATATGTTGGGGGCAGCATCTATTGAGGGAGTAAACATACAATGTTATCGTTAATTCCTATCATTTCACGAGCGCAGTTGAAAGTAGAATTCGTGCTTAAGTTGTTTTTTTTTCTTGACGAAAGACACTCAATACTCACACTTTCTTGATTTAAATAGGATGTGTTTTTTGCACAGACAATTTTTTTTCACTTGAAACTTACGCCACAGGAATTCATGACATTACTGCCTATTATATATTTGTGAGGCAAGAGAGGATCAAAACGACTTTCTCGTAGTAGTCAATTTATAAAAAAGTTTCATTGTATTTTGACATCATTTGAGTGCATTGCTCTTTGAAATGAAAGGGTTTTTTGTTCAAAGACTTAATATCTTGGTGGATTTCAGCCCAGGCACCCTTAGCTTTTGAAAAATCAACTAAAATAAGCAAAGTGTTGTATGTTTTATTAAAACATCAATCCTTTACGAAGCTTTCTGTGTCCTGAATTTATACGAATATTCCATTCTTGTTTTTTTTTCTCTTAAGTAAATGCGTACGGAGGGATAATCTAATTAACTCGGAAGTTCCTTTAATGTACACGTCAACCAGTAAGGGCAGTGTTCATTCAAGGTCACCTAGCGTTTGCGTAAATTCCCATTTTGCTGGAAATATCACATTTTCTGGTTTATTTAAAAGCATGCAAATCACATAAATTATGATTGTACTTGTTTACAAGAAAACCATATTTACTATCTAAACCATTAAATCGTATGCTTTGTTTATGGTGAAGTTAAAAACAATCGTATTAATTGGTGGAAATTAATTTACTTTCTAATATAATGCTTTATAATGATTAATTAAATTAAATCTGCCCAAAAACCTCGTGTTGAGTTTAATTAACTCTGGCACTATATAATTTTTTCCGAAAATTCTTTCAATACTGATGAAATTTACAAAACAAAAGTGGATATATTTATAAGAATGCAAATTATGTTGAGTGCAATTGAATCGTTAATTGGAATGAAATATTCCTTTAAATAAGTGATAAATTCTTTCTCTTACTCATTTTGTTCCTACCTTTAGGGAATATTTCCCTTTCTTACAACTGTCAAATAAAGTGCTAGTTTAATAATGTCAAAATCAGTTTGAAAATTTGCTTTCTTTTCAAGTTTCTAATAAGTACTTTTTTAACCTTACCAAATAAACCGATTCTCTTTCTAACTGTCAATTTTCAATATATGTACAATTAAATCTAGCCAGAATCGTTAAACTGCGTATGAAAGTAGTATTCAGAATAACTTTTGAACTAATTTTAAATATTAATCATAACAGCAAAAATATATTTTTTTACATCCATGAGGCATTTTATATTTGGTGAAATTACGATAATCAATAGCCAATAATTGAACTCGAGTGATGGAAAAGAGATAAGCGAAGATGCGATGGAGTAGTGATTTTTTAAGATGACTTTATTTCACAACCCCATTGCCTATTGGTCGAGACCACTATTTACTCCACTGTGTCAATTCACCAATGGGAATCGTCACATTGGTTAAACAAGCGACATCGCTTGGCAAAAAACACATTTACCTACTTACAGACGGTCAAATTACAGTTCAAGTGTACACTCGTTAGTTGAGACTTTAAACAACCAATGTGTTTTTAATATATTATGTCTTTATAACCACGAGGAAACGCCATGTATATAACTGGAATTCGACGAACTAAGTCAGAAGGAAGTATTTGTACTATTCGTATGCTCATTTCCTCCGATGATCGGACACTGCTCACAAATCAAGATTTAGAATCTATCTTACTCAACCACATTTCGCATTCCTTGGGGAATCCAACCCCTAGTGGGTTCAATCAAACATCGCATTACGGGTCAAGGAAAACGTCATGTAGTAAACATAATTTCTTTGGTACTATGATGCGTCGAAAGCCTTTCACTGGACACACCAACCACACCAATTATCTACATCAGAATCGACGTCATTCTGCTCACAAGATTGAAGAGTTTTCAAGACATATTGCACTGACAACTCACCATACAGGATTGCTACTCAGTCTTCCGTCAACTTTTGGAAGCAATCCAACTTCAAAACCGTCCAAAACTGTCCATTTCCTTGTGGGGAAACATGAAGATTATGATCTGCCTTCACTTCCAGATAAAAGACCAAAACGTAGTCGTCTGTTCTTCCGACATTCAGTGAGTAGCGCAGCTCCAAAAATTAGTCTAACTGAGGGCACGCTCAACCCCCCAGAGGAAGTTATGCGTTTTCCGCTTAGAAGATCAGTTTCTCTAGGCCTACTCTCGGAACGACAAAAGAAGTGTATGGATATAGTCTTTCAACATACAGAAAGTCATGTTCTGGACTCAGGAAAAAAGACTCTTGCAAAGCGTCTGAAACGTGTCAATAGGGGATTTAATCTCACCGATATGCATTGGATTTCGAGGAAATATTCAATGTCGAGTGGAATTAGCTTGAAGTCTGCGGGGAGTTACGAAGCAGCACAAGTGGGGGAAATGGCGCATATGTCATTGTCATTAAAAATTCAGACCGATGTAAGTTTGTGAAGGAATTGGTTACCGATTAGTTTGTGGTTTGTAGTAAACACATGAACATAAGCAATGCTAGCGCAGTGAACTAAAGTCAAACCTGTTTATATAATATTCGTTTATGATCAGCATTTTTGAATTCTTGTTTCTTTTTGTTTCTCAATTAAGCATGAAATGTTTTAATTGTTATTATGAACATTTTCAATTAATTAAAATCGAAGGAAGAAGTCACAATTAGAAATATTAACAAAGAATCTTAAATTAACCGACTTTTTGAAATTTAAAGATATTTCAAGTAAAATGCCTTTGCAATTCGTGCCATCATCACATTTAGCGCCATTAATTTATTTAAAATATTTTAACTTCTCAAATTAGTGCTACTAAACAAGAACTTTACCAGCTTAAGCACAGAATGGTTAGGGAAAACGATTTATTTCTGTTCAGTTTCATTTTTGTAAGTCTAAGTTCCTAATTTTTAGAATTTGAGGTTATTTCAAGTTACATTTCAAATAGAAGGCTTTTTTATTGACTTTTTCAATCATTGTTGGGCTAACTGACAGTTGCGTTTCATTTTACTTTAATTATCTCCTTCCATACTTCTCTCTGTGGTTCATCCCCGATCATATGGTATTTATCGATTTTGTCTGTAAATGTTTACCGTCAATAGCTTTTCAACTTTAAGCGATTTTTCCATATAAGCACGGGGTGTGCGATAGACTTACCTCCACGTGGTGCATCCTGGGCAACGTATATTCATACAGCAAAAAAGTCTATTGACTGGCAGTTGACTTCTCACTTCAAACTACCATCACCTCACTCTATGCCATATTGGAATATTTCCACAGTACTCACCTCACCTTTGTTCTACCTTTGTGTTTTTCTCTTACATCTTTGAAATACTCTTCTGTTCCCAGCCCCCTCTATCGACTTTTTCAATTTGATGTTTCTTCCCCCTGTTAAGCCTGAAGTCAACTAAAGGGCTAATGATAACCATCAAGACGCCTTCATTTGATATAAAT